GTTTCTCCCTTTTCACATCCAAGGAAATATAATATTCTGCCTTTTCAATATTTCCTAGGATATTTCATTTTTCTAGGAGAGGGGGTGGATGCTAACTTCCTACAGTATAATAACTGTTATGACCTTGTAATCAATCTAGTATTAAATTCATTGCTTATGTATATTGTTTCATCATTGTTTCTATATTAATGTGTATTATTATCTTTTACAGAAGTACCTGTCCTCTTTTTAATATATTTGCAAGTATGTTTGAATGTAATTAATAAATGTACAATTATGATATTACTGATTTATGTGTCCATGTGTAGGTGAGGAGGCCCATATTAGTCTTGTTCCAGCACTTAATAATCCTTTCGGCGACCCTGCTTGTGCCATAAAAGCATCAACATTTGCACACCCCCGACTAATTGCCGTTCAGAAAGAAGTGTCAATAAAGAAGAATATGTAATTCAGGGTTGAAATGAGGGGGTCCTTTGGTGCTCTCTTGCGTGCACGCGTGTCAGGAGGAACCGCTTTGCCTTCCTCATCTGCTGCTCTTGTCTTAAACAAACTTGGCAACTTTAAGAACTTCTGAACTGAACGGAGGTCCACACATTTTTGCCCAGGTTTCTCTTCTCAGTTGCATCGCATAAACCTTGCTGGCTTACTGCAGACGGTAAAATGGTAAAATCCGCAAAGACCAGCATTTTAATAAATCAGCGGTTTTCATCCTTGGGAATTGAGAGACGGACTTCAACTCCCAGAATTCCAAGGCCAGCATGGTCGTTGGAGAACACTCTGGGATTTGAAGTCCAGGCCTCTTAAAGCAGATTCCCAAAGTTGTAAGGAAAAAAAAAACAGTCCTAAACGCTCTGCCATTCTAAGCAATTCGGAATGTGAGATTCCTTCGGCATGGCTGGCTGCGGAATTCTGGGAGTTGAAGTCTTCGTTGCAGATTCTCTTACTTCCGCCCTAAAACTCCGCCCTATCCTACCCCAAAAGAAGATAGATATGTGTCTGTGTGTTTCGGGCGTGGGGGAGGAGAATGATCAAAGCGTTCCCAGAACTTCGCGTCCTTGTATAACTCTATAGGTACAAGTCTACGGCCAACCGGAAAAACCCCTTGAGTTTAGGTACCCAGGAAAGGCTTGCTACTGTGATCCTCGTTTTGTTTTGTTTTAAATGCCCAAGAGCCCTCCTCACCATCGAGTCGGAGAGCCGAACCGGCCTCGCAGGATCCCATGGTCTCCGCGGGGCTAGAAGGGCCACTTCCGGTGACGCCAGAGTGGAGAAATGTTCTGCGTTGGGGGGTGTGGGGAGGGAGGAAAGATGAAGGCGGCTGGAGGCGGGCTAGGCCGGGACCGAGACTTCGGTGGGAAGGGAGGCCGGTGAAGGAGCGGGAGCAGGAGGAGGAGGAGGAGTCGCAGGCCTGGGCCTAAGGGCTGGTGGCTGGCCAGGAGCGTCCAATCCAGGGTGGTGCTGCAGCCCCATGGCAGCCCCGCCTTTGCCCGCCTCTTTGGACCCTCCGAGGTACCGAGTCTTTCCTCCGCGGGCAACGCAGCGGACGGTGCCGGCTCCCCTCTGACTCGCCCGCGCCTGATTTACACGGGGAAGGTAGGTAGGTTACTAATAAAGGAGAATAACTGGAAGCTCAGGATTGAAATTCTTGGTGCTCTCTGAGCTTGGCTGTTTTCTTATAGAGACTTTTCCTTACCCAAACTGGGGAACCTCATCAGTGCCAGCTAGTAAAGGAGTGGGCTTTGCTCTCAGTTTAGATATTCTGATCTAGGGGCTTGGCTGATAAGATGCGTTTCTTTTTTTGACCTAAAAGTTCTTACCCAAAGCCTTTATAAAAATCCCAACTGGACTGAGAACTTAACTCCCAAACCATTTGCAGAGCAGTAACTGGAGAATTTACTCCTGCGAGTCCCTTGGACTGCAAGGCGATCAAAACGGTCAGTCCTAGAGGAGATCAACCCTGAGTGCTTTTTAGAAGGCCAGATCCTGAAGATGAAACTCAAATACTTTGGCCACCTAATGAGAAGGAAGGACTCCCTGGAGAAAAGCCTAATGCTGGGAAAGACTGAGAGCAAAAGAAGAAGTGGACGGCAGAGAATGAGGTGGCTGGATGGAGTCACTGAAGCAATAGGCATGAAGTTAAATGTACTCCAGAGGATGGTAGAGGACAGGAAGGCCTGGAGGAACGATGAGTTGAACACAACTTTGCAGCTAACAATAATTGGAGAATGCTGGACTAGCATAGGAGAGTGCATATTTTTTTAAAAAAAAACTTTTCAGCTTGGAATAAGGTCAGAAGTGTCCTAGTCCTGTCAGGGAGGCTTTCTAGTGTGGAAAAGCTGGAGAGAATCCAAGCTGGAAGGGACTGGTAAGAGCTGGAAAGCGTCAATTTCTGGAGCATTTCCTGAAAAGATCCTTTATCCAGTCTAAACTAGATAATTGTCTAGGAGTCCTTGGTGTTCTTTCAGCTTGATAGTTTTCTTATAGACTTTTCCTTACCCAAAATGGGTAAGGTCATCAGTGCTAGCTAGTAAGGAATGTGGTTTGCTCTCAGTTTATAATTCTACTGGCTTGCTTCACACGATGTGTTTTTTGACCTAAAAGATAATAGCTGCATTCTTACCCAAAGCTTTTTTAAACATCCCATCTAAGCTGGGAACTTAATTCCCAAACCATTGGCATAGCAGTAATTGGAAAATGCTGGACTAGCATAGGGAAGTGCATAATTTTAAGAAGCCCTTTTCAGGTAAGGATGTCAAAAGTGTCCTAGTCCTGTCTGAGAGGCTTTCTAGTGTGGAAAAGCTGGAGAGAATCCAAGATGGAAGGGACTGTTAAAAGCTGGAAAGCGTCCATTTCTGGAGCTCTTCCTGGAAAGATCTGTGCTCCAATCTGTACAAGATAGTTCTCTAGGAGTCCTTGGTGTTCTTTCAGCTTGATTGTTTTCTTATAGACTTTTCAATGCTAGGTAATATCATCAGTGCTAGTAAAGAGTCAGGTTTGTTCTCAGTTTATACTCTAGTGGCTTGCCTGTTAGTGGTGGTGGTCTTAGAGGTTCTTTGGTTGGGCTCTTTGCTGTTGGCTTCTTCGGCAGTTTCTTGATTGAAGTATTGTTTATTTCATTGTGGTCTGAGGTTAACCTTGGAGTTAATCTGTGCCCATCCGGGTGCTGACTGCTGGTGGGGAAGGTCCTTGAGTCTTTTTGTTCCTTTTGGGCTGGTTGATTGTCTCTTTTGCATAGTCTATAGTTGTTGTTCATGTTTATGTGTCTATTGATGGCTGATTTGTCAGAGTGCCAAGCTTCTAGAAATTCCCTGGCACTTTTTGACTTGGTTTGATCTAGGATGGTCACATTTTCCCAATTTAAACTATGGTTAAACCTGTCTTTATGTTGTGAGATTAAAGAATTTTCATCATGTCTACTGACCCCGGTTAGTGTTTGTGCCAGTCTTTTGCCTGTTTGTCCTATATCAGGAGTGTAAATTCAAGACCCAGGGGCCAGATCTGGCCCATGGGGTGCTTAGATCTGGCCTGCGGGGCCGCCCTGGAAACAGCAAAGGACCGGACCGCAGTGCCTCTTCTGGCAAGGCGCTTGGACTATCACAAGTGCCCCCAACACAAGAGAGGTTGAGCTGGCCATGCCCACCCAGCCCCGAGGTCAAATACAACCCCGATGCGGCCCTCAATGACACCCTGTCCTACATAGTAATTGTTGCAGTCCTTACATTGTATCTTGTAGGTGACTCCTATTTTTTCTTCTGGAGTTGTGGGGGTCTCTCTCGTCCGCTGCCACGGCTGTCCTGGGTCTGAAAAGGACAAATCCGCTTTCTCAATCCTGCTAGAAGCATTATTTTTTTTACTACCAGTTCTGTGGGCATGGTGTGGCTTGGGGGTGTGGCAGGAGAAGGATACTGCAAAATCTCCATTCCCTCCCCACTCTGAGGCCAGCCAGAGGTGGCATTTGCTAGTTCTCCGAACTATTCAAAATTTCTGCTACCAGTTCTCCAGAACCTGCTGGGTTTCATCCCTGGAGCTAAGGCAAATTTAAAAAGGCAGCCTTTTTTTGGAAGTGAAATTTGGAAAGCGGATGGAATATTTGGCATATTATCAATTGTTAGATGCCCTACTCCAAAGTTTGCTCCTTCGTAAGCTGTCTTCTGGCAAGCAAAAAGTGCTCACTGTTGTCAATCAATTTGGGATATTAGCCACTTATTGGACATGACACATATAGTTCTGCTTCTGTTTTTCCTGCAATAAATTTATGGTACTTTCTGTGTTATGGAGAGGAATCGTGTTGCTAGAAGACATTTAAAGTAGTAGCATCAGTATCTTTTGCAGTCATTGAACGGCCTTAAACTTTTGGCAAGATTGTCTAGGATGGGGTGTCAAACTCAATTTCATTGAGGGCCACATCAGGGCTGTGATTGACCTTCGGAGGCTGGGTGGGTGTGGCTGACTTACACTGGCCTGATCTTTCCTCTATGCATTGGGTAGGCCAGGATAGCCCCGCGGGCCGGATCCGACCACATCGCAGGCCAAATTTGGCCCATGGGCCTTGAGTTTGACACCTCTGGTCTAGGAAAATCCTAACAATGTTCAGGATTTTCTGTGTAACATATCGTTTGTAAAAGTAAGGGCTGAGTCAAATGATTGTGAATTCGGATTTTTCTTAAACCCGGGATTATTTTTAAGTCAGGGAGACATTTGCAATTTGGGTGAAATAATGTAAACTTAACACATGTAGTCCTTGACTTACCACTCTTCATTTAGTGACAGTTCAAAGTTACAACAGCATTGAAGAAAGTGATTTATGACCATGTCAGCATCCCCAGAGTGACATGATCAGAAATCTGGGCGCTTGGCAACTGGCATGTATTTATTTATTTTAAAAAATGTATATTGCCACCTACTTGCACATGGCGGCTCAAGGCAGCTTAATTGTTTATGACAATTGCACTGTCCCAGGTTCATGTGGTCACCATTTGTAACCTTCCTATCCGGCTGCCGGCAAGCCAAGTCAATGGGGGAAGCCAGATTCACTTAACAACTGCAGGGATTCATTTACCAATTGTGGCAGAAAAGTCAAAAAAATGCTCATAACTTAGCAATGGCAATTTTGGGCTCAGTTGTGGTTGTAAATTGGGTACTATCTATATTGGTGCTCTCTAAGGTTAGTAGATAATATATTTAATGTGTTTTGATCTATAGAAGCTGTTTTTATGAATATGGAGCATTGTATTTATTCATTTTAATTTTGTTTTCTTTTTGGCATGATTATCACAGAAACAACTTAGTTTGCAAGATAAACTGGTGTTAAGGAAGAAGAAGCGAAAGGAAACAGCCTCCATATTTGGGCTGCTTTCACTCATCAGCTCCTGTGAATAAATCTCAACTATCCTCACTCCTGCCCAAAGAAGAAGATGCCTGTGATATCCGATCAGCTCCAGATGAATGAAACAAGGGGTAGGTAGACTATCGTTAAAGCCATTCATCACAGCTACCCAACAGTCTAATCTCGTGTAGGGGCAAATATTAGCTTGTTGTAATAGTTTTGTTGTAGGGCGTGATAGACATTCTGCTTCCTTCCTCATTGTCACCTTCCTCATTGCCAAGGCCAGATTATCAGAGTTTGATGTGGATGCAACTCTGCTTATAGTTTCCATAGTGAGGGAACTGTGTAATCAAGAGATATTCTAGAGCAGGGACAAAGTGAAGGCCTGGGAGGCAGATCCAACCCACGAGGTGCTTAGATCTAGCCCGCAGGACTTCCCTGGAAACAGTGAAGGATTGGCCTGCGGTGCCTCTGCCAGCAAAAACTGAGCTCGGGAGGACGGCACACAGGTCCTGCCGAGCTCCGTTTTCAACGGCAGAGGGTTGCCGAAGGCCATCGCAGCTGAAATCAAAGCTCAGGAGCCTGTTTTCTCTTGCAGACTATTTGGGCAACCGCAGGGGCCCTTGACACGAGTGACGTTGAGTTGGCCACGTCCACCCTGGTCACGCCCACTCCAGACTCCCGTGGTCAAACACAACCTTGATGCGGCCCTCAATGAAATCGAGTTTGACACTCCTGTTCTAGAGAAACTCGTTTGGCTCAGTCGTGTTTTTATAGCCGGTGTGGAAATTTTGATGGCTTAGGGCAAAACTAGAGTAGAAATTAGTTCTGTGTGTTGTCGGCTAATTGCTTCATTATGTAGATTTACTGTAGAATGCTCTTGATTTTTTTTGTTCTTTGAATGGTATTTCCTAGAAATGCTGCAGCTATGGCATATCCTGTTCAAGAAAAGGTGGTCCAGGTTGACATGATTTTCATCTTTTTAGGTGCCGGATCTGAATCCCTTTCAGGTCTATACTAATGTGATTGTAAGCTACTTTGACCAATAATTTTAGGAGATAAAATAAAAAAGGATGGATTAATTTTGGTCACTTGAACTTTCCCCATTTTTGGAGGTGCCCTGAATTGGCCAATTTAGAATTCTGGATATCCTTATTAACTTCAGAACATGCATATGCTGCCCCAGACATCGTTTCGTTTCCCAGCTTGCCACACAGTATTTTTTTGGGAGGGGTGGGGGAGGGAAAGGTTTGGAATGTTAGCCCAGACAACAAGAAGAGATTGTCCCTTGAGAAGCAAGGTCATCTCAACGGGTGTTTGCCAGAGACTTGAAGGAGTGACCCTGGAGGGGAGGGAAATATCTATTCTTCAATTGTGTGAAAATCACAGGGAAATAGAGAGTTGGTTTTGCTTTGTGTGTGCCAAAATGATGTACTCAATAAAGTTATGCTTAAAAAGATCTGATTGCCTTGATTTGCTGGTTTGGTTGGATTTGTCAGTCGGAACCCTAATAGTTCTCTAGCTTCCACTATCTTTAGAATAGGGGTGTCAAAACTTAATTTGATTGAGGGCCGCATCATGGTTGTGTTTGACCTTGGGGGTGGGGGGAGGCTGGGGAGGCCTGGCCAGCTCAACATTACTCATTGAGGCTCTGTTTCCGGCAGCGATGACCTCCTGAAGCTCTCTGCCAATGAAAATGAACCCTGGGATGCCACATGCGGCCTCCCTGAGCTCTGTTTTTGCTAGAAGAGGCACCATAGGCTGGTCCTTTGTTGTTTCCATGGCGGCCCTGTGGGCCAGATCTAAGCACCCTAAGGGCCAGATCCAGCCTGTGGGCCTTGAGTTTCACACCCTTGCTTTAGAAGGTTAATTAGCAGTCGTGCCATCCATTTCTTGGCTTCTCAACTCTTGGCTGTCTAGACCCTTCGTGGTCCAGCTGTGCTTGTTGGTAGGACGTCCGCCTCAGCTATCATCTTTGTTAGTATTGACTTTTTTGGAGTAAAACCTCACTGAATTTCAGAGGGGAGGACAGGTAGCCCTCGTATTACAACCATTTGTTTAGTGCCTGTTCAAAGTTACAACTGCATTGAAAAGCGTGACTGTTTCAGGCTTATGACCATAGCGGGATCCCCACGGTCACATGATCAAAACTTGACCGCTTGGCAACAAGCGTCCCAGAGCCCCTTTTGCGACTTTCTGACAAGCAAAGTCGGCGGGGAAGCCAGATTCACTTAACTGTCGTGTTACTAACTTAACCATTGCAGTGATTCACTTAACAACTGTGGCAAGAAAAGTCGTAAAATGGGGGCAAAGCTCACATAGCAACAGAAATTTTGGGCTCAGTTGTGGTTGTATATTGAGGACCATCTAATCTCCCAAGTTCAGGGAAGGACCAATTTCCATTTGCCATTGCAATCTTTCAGTGTCTTACATGAAGAGCCCATGTAAGCTTTTCTAGAGTTTTTTAAGGGAAAGGGTGGGAAGTCTATCCAATAAAATATTAAACTGGGATCTTGGCTGATTCTGACTGAAACGTTCCTTCTGTGTTACAGGAGCCATGGCAACCACAAATCCTCTGGAGACCCTCCAAGTGGAAGCCAGCTGCTCCGTCTGTCTGGAGTACCTGAAAGACCCTGTCATCATCGACTGTGGCCACAACTTCTGCCGGGTGTGCATCACCCGCTGGTGGGAGGATTTGAACCGAGACTTCCCTTGCCCCGTGTGCCGCAAGACCTTCCGCCACCGCTCTCTGAAGCCCAACCGGCAGCTCGGCAACATGGTCGAGATTGCCAAGCAACTCCAGGTCACCAATAAGCGAAAGATACGGGATGAGGACTTGTGCGAGAAGCACAATGAAGTGCTTCGCCTCTTCTGTAAGGAAGACCAGGAGGCCGTTTGCTTAGCGTGCGAGATCTCCCACGAACACCGTTCCCACACAGTTGTGTCCTTGGATGATGCCTCACAGGAGTACAAGGTAGGGTGACGGCATTGGCACACAATGGGTACAAAGCTTTCCTACAACCAAGAGGGAGGGGTAAAGATCACCTTGACTGATCACCTTGACTGGCAGAGGGCTGATATAGAGTTAGTCCTCGGCTTACAACTGCTCGCTTAGTGACTGTTCAATGTTATAATGTGTGCTGCCCATCTCCTGTGGACACATGACCACATTTTGGGCTGCTAGTAGCATCCCACGGTCACGTGAGCACAACTTACAATTTTTTTTGCCATAAATTGACATGCAGCAATAGCACTTAGACCAGTGGGTCTCAACCTTCCTAATGCTGCGACCCTTTAGTACAGTTCCTCATGTTGTGGTGACCCCCAACCATAAGATTACTTTATGTTTTCCGTATTTTTTTTGAAAATATGTGTTTTCTGATGGGGAATATTCCCAAAGGGGTCCCGACCCACAGGTTGAGAACCACTGACTTAGACTAATGTACTACTCCTTAGTGCCTACATCCCTCTCTAAGCATTTTACAGAGTCAGCCTATTGCCCCCAACAATCTGGCTGCTCATTTTACCAACTTCAGAAGGTTGGAAGGCTGAGGCAACCTTGAGCCAGTCAGGATTGAACTCCTAGGAATTGGCAGAGATAGCCTGCAATCCTGCATTCTAACCACTGCGTCACCGCAAAAAACTCCACACAGAACAATGGATTCGCTTAACTTCTGCAGCGTTTGCCATATGATTGCCACATTTACTTAAAAGCCTCTGCCCCCACTCACCCAAAAAAGCCATAAAATTTAGTCAGTCATGTGATGACCCACTTTACGACTATCATGACTTACGACCATAATTGGCAGGTTCCATTATGGTTATAAGCTGAGGACTACCTGTATACCTACCTCTCTTTTCTTGGGTTCTGTATCAAATGAGTTTGCGTAGTATCGGTGTATCTTCTTGTTTTGATCAGTTATAGTCTGACATTTTGTTTTAAAAATGATATTCAGAGCCTGCTCTGTAACAAGAGTGCTCATGAACATGTCTTCTTTCGAAGTATCCTAGAACAATATTTTCTAACCCAGGGTGCTCCAGAGTCTCATTGAAGGTGACCTTTTCATGCAGTTCTGTGGGTTCCCACATAGCTAGAAAGTGTTAGTCTGAGAGGCAACTTTAAACTCATGAATGAATGCAAATATATACATGTCCCCAGGATAATGTTGCAGAATCCAATCTGTGTCGGTCACCAGGACCAGAGGTTTTGTATTCTGAGCTTTCGGACTCGTGATCAACAAATCCCCAACTTTAAACTGTTAAAGGCATTTTGCTTCAGCCTTGTCCTTCATTTGTTTTTCTGTTTTTATTCCCCCTTCCCCCAACTGGTGTCCAAATATACAGTAGCTCCTGGTGACTTTTGAGCTTATATTTAACTTAACTTTCTTCAAATCTCAGTATTCCCCTGAATACATACTTTTGCTTGGCAGTCTCATTTGGGTTTCAGTCCTGTTAGCTCCTTGGGGAAGAGGTTGGTTGTATCAGTATCAGTTATATTAAATACATCAGTGTGAAAGATAAAAGTGGTACTAGATGAAAATATTGATTGTTGATTCTGGTTTGTTTATTAGAACTCTTCAGAGAGGAATAGCTCTTTATGTAAAAGAGACAATAAATGTTAAGCAATTTTTTTTGCGGATGAGGAAGGGAGGATCCTGGTGGTGGAGATAATAATGAATAATAAACAGATACTTTTAGTAGCAATATATGGACCAAATAACAATAAAGAGGATTTTTATGTTAAACACAATAAGAAAATAGCAGAATTGGACTACGAAAATATATGTGTGGTAGGAGATTTCAATGCAATTCTAGATGTGGAACAAGATTACAAAACCAGAAGAATAAATAAAAAAGCTTAAAAAAACCACTTCCAAAAGCTTTTTTCAAAATGGCAGAAGAAGTAGGTATCCAAGATGTATGGCGAGAGATTCATCCTAATGAAAATCAATATTCATTTTACTCAAATACACATATGTCTTGGTCCAGGAGAGATATGATATGGATGTCAGCAGAATTAAAATCTAATGTGCAGGAAATAAATATAGAAATAAATAATTGGGCGGATCATAACCTGATAAAAGTGATATGGAAGGGACAAAAAAGGAAACCAAGATGGACTTTGAATCAATCAATGTTAAAAGAAAAGGAACTTATTCAATTTATGGGAAAAAGAAATGGACTTTTTCCTTAAAGAGAATAGAAAAGAAGAAACGTCACTACAAAACGTCTGGGATATGGCTAAGGGATATATTAGAAGTCTAGTCATAACATACATGGGAAAGAAAAATAAAAAGAAAAGACAAAAGACACTAGAAGAATATAAGCGATTAGAGATAGAGCTACAAAAAGATCCACAAAAGAATATAAAAATACAAATGGAATTAACAAAACGTAAGCTGAATTTAACAGATAAAGAACTAGCACAAAAAAATTAAAAGCGTTAAACAAAGTTTCTTTGAAAATACAAATAAACCAGGAAGATGGCTGGCATATAAACTGAAAAAGGAGAAGGAAAAGAAATTGATATCTCAACTAATGGATGAAGAAGGAATTCTTCACTATCGAAATGAAGAGAAAAAGAAAATGATTCAAAACTACTATGGAAAACTATATGATCAGGAAATAATCCCAGAAGATAAAATAAACCAATACTTAGAAAAAGTGGACTTCCCTAAAATCCTTGAAACAGTCAAAACAATGTTAGAGCAACAGATAACAATGATGGAATTAACAGAGGCAATTAAGAGAGTGGCAAGATGCCAGGCCTGGAATGACTACCAGCAGAACTATACAAAGACCTACAAAATATTCTAAGTACTCCAATTTTGGATGTATTTAATGATCTATTATCAGAAGCAAAAATACTAAACTCATAGATGGAGGCATTTATCACTCTCATACCAAAAGAAGATGCAGATTTGCAACAAATAAAAAATTATAGACCAATTTCACTATTGAATGCTGACTATAAAATATTTGCTTCAGTAATCGCAGGAAGATTAAAAAAGATTTCTAAACCAATTTATCCATTCAGATAAAAATGGTTTTCTACCTAAGAGACAAATTAAAGATAATAGAACAATTTTAAATACATTGGAATACTATGAAGCACATCCAGAGGAGCAAATGTCATTGGTCTTCCTAGATGTACAGAAAGCATTCAATAATATAAATTGGCAATTTATGCTAACAATTAAAAGACATGGACTTTGGGGAGAGATTTATTAACATGATTAGGGTGATATATTATGAACAAAATGCAAAGATGATAATGAATGGAGAGATGACCGAGAAGATCAATATTAAGAAAGGCAAAAGACAGGGATGCCCTCTGTCTCCTTTGTTATTCATGATGACATTGGAACTAATGAATAGAAATATTAGACAGGAGGTAGAGATGAAAGGTATGGAAATAAAAAAGAAAAGTATAAATTACAGGCGTTTGTGGATGATTTAGTATTTATTTTGAAAGACCCACAAGAAATGGCCTAAATTAATTTAAAAAATAGAAGAATATGGGGAAATAGAAGGACTGAAAATAAATAAAGAGGAAACAAAAATCTTAGTGAAAAACATTACAGGCAAGCAGAAAAAAGAGTTAATGAAGAGAATAGATATTCAGATTACTAAGAAAGTAAAATATTTAGGAATTAATTTGACAGCAAGATGTGTTGATAGGGCTTTCAGTTAGGACAGGTAGAGGAAAAAGGATGCCATGGTAGAAGGAGACTCTATGGTGAGGGAATCGGACTTCCAGTTGGCTCCAGAATTGAACAAGGGGCTTCTGGTTAGGACCTTTGTGGCCCTTTTGAGTGTTTAAGGTTGCCAACCCCTGAACTAGACGAATGGCAGAAGTTGGGGGATAGGAACTATAAATTGACAATGTCAACCGCATTCAAAGAAAATGTATATAAGAGTTACGTCAGCTTCATGAAATCTTCATGTATGTACTGTATTTTGCAGAGTATAAGGCGCACCGGAGTATAAGACGCACCAAGGTTTTGAAGAGGCAAATTTTTTTTTAAAAAATTTTTGCACTCTGAAAACCTCCCAAAAATGTTTTTTTTTTAAAAAAAGGGCATCAATAGCCCTTAGGAGGCTTGTAAAGTTATATAAGAGTTTTATTTTTGTTAATTCAGGAAAAGATGCAGAAATGTTTGGAGCCATTGGAAAAGAAATTGCAAGAGATCGCCCACTGCAAATCCCGAGAAGAAAAAAAGGCTGGGGAACTCAAGGCAGGTGTTGAGTCCTCGGTTCACTGCCGAAGGACAGAGTATTTATTCTTAATTTAATTTTTCACCATAGCTAAAAGAAAAACAGTTTTAAAATGTAATGTTAAATTTCAGCCTTTTGTACCTGTGTCCAGAGGTGGTATTCAGCAGGTTCTAACCAGTTCTGGAGAACCAGTAGCGGAAATTTTGAGTAGTTTGGAGAATCCGGTAAATACCACCTCTGACTGGCCTCGCCCCCATCTACTGTCTGCCTCCCAAGTCCCAGCTGATAGGGAGGGAATGGGGATTTTGCAGTAACCTTCCCCTGCCACGCCCACCAAGCCATGCCCAAAGAACTGGTAGTAAAAAATATTGAATCCCACCACTCCCTCTGTCCCCACTTTAGTTAATTTACACATTTTTCTTAACAACTGAGAGTGCTTATGACATTATTAAATCCTTAAATCAGGGGTGTCAAACTCAAGACCCGGAGGCCAGATATAGTCTGCGGGTACTTAGATCTGGCCCATAGGGCCACCCTGGAAACAGCGAAGGACCGGCCCGCGATGCTTCTGCATGTGGCCCACCCAAGCTCTATTTCCACTGGCAGAGGGCTGCAGGAGGCCGTGGCAGCTGAAAATGGAGCTTGGGAACCTGTTTTCGCTGGCAGAGCATTCTGGCCACCACAGACACCCCCTGACAGGAGTGACGTCAAGCTGACCACACACATCCTGGCCACGCCCATTCTCCCCGCCCTCGAGGTCAAACATAACCCTGATGCAACCCTCAATGACATCGAGTTTGACACTCCTGCCTTAAATGATACCCAGGTCAGAGAAGAAAGGCCTCTCCTGGTTTCAGACATTTTTAAAATGTGTAATATTCCAAATAGTAACAATACAGGTAGCCCTTGATTTACAACCATTCATTTAGCAATTGTTCAACGTCACAATGGCTTTGGGGGGGGGGAAGTCTTATAACAGGTTCTCGTAAATACAACCGTCGAAGCGTCCTCACAGTCGCATGAACCAAATTCAGGCGCTTGGCAACCAGCATATATTTACAACGGTTGTCATTTCCAGGGGTCACGTGATCACCATTTGCAATCTTCCCAGCCAGCTTCGGACAGACAAAGTCAATAAGGGAAGTTGGTTTCTCTTTAACAACCTGGTGATTCACGTACCCACTGCAGTGATTGGCCTAACCATGGCACAAAGGTCGTCACATCAACTCACTTAACAACTGCCTTGCTCAACAATGGAAATTCTGCCCCCAGTAGTGGTTGTAAGTCAAGGACTACCTGTAAAGAAAATTTCTCGGATAGGAGTCTGAATATAAATTCTTCAGAGAGATTTAGCAACACTAAGAACAGCCCGAAAAGAAACACAACAGAACTAAAGCTTATTAAAAATGCCTGGTCTGCCCAATAAGTTAAAGAAACAAGACATAGAAATGTTTCTCCTCCCCCCCCCCCCGCAAATATTATCCAACCTTTTCTTCTTATGTATCTGCAGCGGAAGGTGGAGGACCGTCGTCAGCTCATCATTAATGAATTTGAGGAGCTGCACCTATTTCTAGCAGACGAGCAGGACATACTAATGCAACGCCTAGAAAACGAGGAGAAGGAGATTTTACAGAAGTTGAAGGAGAATGTGACGGAGCTGTCAGAACAACGGATGGCCCTCAACAGCCTTATCACAGAAATCGAAGAAAAATGTTTGCAGTCGGGCATGGACATGCTCCAGGTATGAGCTCCCCCCTCCCCCAGGAATTTTGAATCAAAGAGCGAAGTGTGCTCTGGGAAGAAACTGGGCATTTCTGGTATAATCCAGATTGTTTGGGCATATAGCAAAAAGTGGGTTTAGAATCAGAGGGAAAAATCTGGGAGATTTTAATAAATTTCCACAGGGAAATGCTTTCTGAGAATATATCTACACTCAAACTTTTCAAGAACTCAAGACTGCACATGTAATTGTCTGCCTACCCTAGCTGTTTCTAGGTAGTCTCGAGTTATGACTGGACATTTAATGACCCTTTGAAGTTACAGTGGCCTTGGAAAGGGTGCTTGAAGCCCATAAAGCCTTTTCGGCTGCGGTAAAATGTTGCACCAGGGTACAGTCACATTACCACATTTTTTTGATGCTTGGCAAGTCGCTGTCACAAACAGTTGCAGTATCCTGCAATCACGTGGCTGAGATTTTTATTTGGCTGATTTCTTACAAAACAACCCCCATCCCCCAAGTTAAGTGAATGGATTCACTTAACAAATGTGTGATTTGCTTAACAGCCACCATAAAAAAACGGTCAAAAAATTGGATCCCAGTTAAATGGGTTTCTTAACTTATGACCGCAACAATTTATAACTGAAATTCTAGTCCCAATTTTGGTCATAAGTTGAGATCTACCTGCATTTTACAATGGGTTTATAAGGACAATTAAATTGAATAATGTCAAGAATAAATTCAGGATTTGGGGGGCAGGGGGTTGAGTCAGGGCTCCCTTAGTCCTAGTCCAGCATTCTTGGAAGCATTTGATAGGAATGTTGGACGCTTCCATCTCTGTAATTCTAAACGTATGCCAAAAGTGTTTATCCCAGTGGTGCGGTCCTACCAGTTTGGCCGAACCGGTAGTGTTTTGGGGGCCTGGGTCGCTGGAACTGGCAGCAACCCATGCCTGCCATGCTCCCGAACCAGTTTTTCGGTCTCTTCTGCTGTTGCCGGCATGTTTCGGCATCCACAGAGCAGTTTTCAGTCAACTGTGCATGCACAGCAACGTGCTGTGTGTGGGCACGCGAGCGAATGAAACGAGCAGCACACACGTAAAACTCCCTTTCCGCAAACCAGTAGTAAACCGGTTAGGAACCCACCACTGATTTATTCCCTCCCTTAGAAGGCTGAAGAATTACAAGCTGTTATCTACTTTTTTAAAAGATGCGTATGGCTAGAAAAAGTGATTGAAATAAAAGAACCAATATTACATGATCCCACAGGGTGATTTAATTAGTTTTGAATGTCTGCTAGTGCTACAGCTTCAAAATTGTAGTTTTCTTCCATTTGAAGCGATTTTCAAATGTTAGCTTTAAGTTACTTGTCAAGGTTATGTAAACCTATCTTGTTTCTCGTGCACATCCTCTTTCGACTGACCTTTATTTGATGGTTGATAAGGCGAGAGCTCATTTCTGTGGCTTTGTGAATGCAATTTGTATAGTTCTTGTAGCTTCCTGTTCAAATGTGTTGGTTTCTAGCACTGCAAATATGCAAATATGGCGTGAGAGGATAGAATAAGGTGATGGGATCATCATCCCACATGCCAATCCTTTTGGTGCATAACTTCCTATGCAAATGGGTTTTTTTTAATTTAATGTGTGGGTTCTCCTAAGATCAGATGAAATCTTAATATTATTTCCTGTCTTTATACAGGACGTGAGGAGCACATTTGAGAGGTAAGGAACAATTCTGATTGTTGCTGTTATCATCAGAGAAGCAGTATAACTAACTTAAAAATGAAAGCTCAAAGTTGAGTATCTGAAGGCATGTGTATGTGTTCCTATATTGACACCATATTTTTAATTAATTTAATTTTTTTTAATGAAATTGAGGTGGGATACTTTACACCAGAATTCACAGTCTTTAGTGATATATATTATTTTACTTGGGAACTGCTTTTTGGACCCATTTAAAAAAACAGGACAAAAATCCATTTGGCTTAATAGCAACAGCAGTTACTCACATATCGCTTCACTGTGCTTTACAGCCCTCTCTAAGTGCTTTACAGAGTCTCCTGCACCACTGCAACTCTTAATGTGAACGTTACTTGCAGTAAGTTAATAAAAGTAGTTTGTACCATCTGTTTTGATGTTTTCAGTAAGCATACATAATTGAGCTCTTGTTATAAAGTAAAAATAAACAAAAAACTCAAAGGGCAGACTGGATGGACCACTAGTTTTTTTCCCCCTGCCATTGGTGTTCTGTGCTTCTATGTCTTCGGCCACAATAGCATAACTCTGAAATTCAATTCAGTAAAGGCGCAGATGTGAGACAGAGGTTTGTTTAAGATGTGCAGCTTACCAGATCTTCCTCAATCCAACTTGATTATAAATAGTCCTTGACTTATGACCACAATTGAGCTCAAAATTTCCATTGCTAAGTTGTTAAGTTCTTGACCCTCCTTGAGACAATTAAGTTGTTAAGTTAGTAACACAATTGTTAAGTGAATCTGGCTTCCCCATTGAACTTTGAGGTCACAAAAGGAGATCACATGACCTCAGGACACTACAACTGTCATAAATACATGCCAGTTGCCAAGCATCCAAATTTTGATCACATGACCATGGAGATGGTGCAGTGGTTGTAAGTGCGAAACATGGTCATAAATAACTTTTTTTCAGCACTGTTGTAACTTTGATCTGTCACTAAGTGAACTATTGTAAGCCGAGGACCACCTGCACTGGCAGCAAATGTTGTTTCAGTAGTGTGACAGATTTATCAGCTTTGACTAGGAGCCTTATGTAGGTAGAGATAGGTTGGTGGTGTTCTGACCTAGGCTTCCCCGAAAACCACAAAGCAGATTCCTG